ATGTGAAGGAAAAGCAAAAAAAAGTGTTGATTGCGAAAACTCTAGAGTGAGAACATAATTCTCATCCTCAACCTCAACTGTAGGTACGTGAATGGATGGAACAAATCTCATGTATGCAATCGCTTAAATGAAATTCGGCAAATTGGGCATTTTCAACCATCAGTTGTACCTACCGCCTTCAATATCCATGTTTTCCAGCACAGAACCGATTCTTCGCATCTCGAAGTAGTGTTTGAGTGCGAACATACACTTACCGAAAGTCCTGATACAAAATGTATAATTTGACAATAAGGGGTATATCTCATTATTCCTGTTGTAATCATCCACTGACAAACTAACCTTGACCCCAACCTGCCTATTCGACCATTCTTCTCGCTCTTGGCATATTCTTCTTTTCTTTTCCCTCCACCTTCTTTCTCCTCCTCTCGATGACTCGGTCCAATTGTCTTCCCTTCAACTCTCCGAAAGTATCTAATAGAACCCTCTTCTTTTGTTCTGCCTTCTTCAAATAATATGGCGTCTTTCCCTCCTTCACCAATTGCTTCTCCTCCTTCCTATGCTTATCCAACACCTCTCGAGCCTTTCTCTTCCTAGCGTCCGTCTTCTTTCTACTCTCCATACGCAACAGTTCTCTCTTCAACTTCTCCTTCTCATCTTCATCCTTGGTTTTCCTAATCGTCTCCTTTAATTTCTTCATTTCATCCTCTCGATAATCAACCAAGAAATCGTAGTTCTTTTCAATCTTTTGCATATCAACCGGACCGTTCGTTGGCTCAAATCGTGGATCTCGGATCTCTCTTTTCTTGACAGGTACGACTTCCCTGCGACGAGATACGGCTTTCTTACTGGAAATTTCGGTAGGTGCGTTTTTACTGCTGCGAGTAAAGTCTCTTTGGTCTTTTTTCCCAGCTTTACGTTCGGTAGCTTCATTATCTTCCCATCCATCCCCATTACTCTTCTTTAAATTTTTCGAATCCCTCTTACTGGGTTTGGACATGGTAGCTTGTGCTTTAGCTAATGCGCCGAAAGAGATTGAGGCCGCACCGTTGGATGCTTTATTTTCAGATTCGGATGATTCCTATTGAATATTAGTTAAAGATCCAGATTTGGCTTTAATGAATCCGACCTCATCATCGTCATCGTCTACTTCCTCGTCGCTGGAACTTCCTCCTTCCTCATCGTCATTTTTACCAGTTTCTGATGGAGCAGAATCCGAAGAAGATTCTTCAATTTCTTCAGAAGCCTCTCTTCTTGCTCTCACGCGTCTCTGTAGACCAGTGTCTAGTGCTTTTCTCTTTGTTGATAACATTGTCAAATTTCGTGGTTACTCAGATTTTAATTTCTTAAAGATTGATGGATATGGGGAATTTTTTGCCAATGTCGGACAATCTAAAGGCGGTGAAATACGGAATAACAAAATTCCGATTACTTTTGATTCTTCCTGTTCTCGATTTTTCGAGTTCATCTTCAGCCTTGTATCTACGAGCAGAAGGTCAACTTTCCAGCTGATGTCCCTAGCACGTTCTTTTGCGTCAACGCTCAGTGTAGGAGAGTTGAGATACGTTACTGCAAGGAACTTCTCCTCAACCAACAATGTATTAAGTCAATGGGAACGAAACGATTCGGAGCAAACACCATCAAAAATAAGGTTCGGCGAAAGGAATCGAAAACATCCCGGAGTACCTTTCAAATCTGGAGACAAATATAAGAGTGATAGAGTCTCTAAATTTGTCGATATAAAGACTCCATTACTGAATCCTAGTGGTTCCGAAAACATCGCGACAAATATATCAAAACCATTGTCTCCGCTATTACGATCACCATACTTTGCACGCAAACCAGATCCACTACAAGATCAAGCATTCTTCTACCCCTCATTTATTAAAAATCTCTGGCAAAAGAAGAAAGCAATAAAGAATCAAATGGCTCCCATGTCCAAAGATGCGAGAGTACAACCTTCAAGAGCCTCAGGTGGTGTTCCAAACCCTACCAGCGAATACCTAGAAAAGTCCTATACCAAGCCAGACCAAACGCCAGACCCCTCTCCTCTCGCCCGCCATCTCCTCGTCGTCATCGATCTAAACGGCACCCTTCTGTACCGCCCGAACCGCAAATCTCCTACTAAATTTACCGCCCGCCCGCACGCCGAAAAGTTCCTACAGTACTGCATCGATACCTTTTCCGTTGTAATATGGTCATCAGCTAGATCTCAAAATGTGATTCCCATGTGCAAAACCATTCTCACCCCCAAGCTCCGACAAAAGATTATTGCCATCTGGGGTCGCGAAACCTTTGGTCTCAGTTCCATGGACTACAATACTCGCGTACAGTGTTACAAACGTCTCACTAAACTCTGGAATGATCCCCAGATAGCAGCTTCGCACCCCGATGCTCAAAATGGTGCCAGATGGGATCAGACAAATACAGTTTTGATTGATGATTCGAGCGAGAAAGCCCGCAGCGAACCTTTCAATCTGATTGAGATTCCAGAATTCTTTGGCGATGACAAGGAAGTCGGGGATGTATTGCCACAGGTTCATGATTTCTTGAATTTCCTTAGCATGCATGAGAATGTCAGCGCTGCGATTCGTCATTCGCCATTTGTGCCACAACCCAAAGCCGATCCTCGTCAGGCTACAGGTTTGAATTTACCCATCCATCCACCTAAAGCTTTAGGTCCTGCTAGAGTTCCGTCTCCAGTTGAACCGGTGTATCAGCCCTCATACTCAAGTGAAACTGTACCCTCGAAGTATCAACCGATGCTTGGAAATTCAGAGAAATGGTAATTTTGTCCATTAATCGCTTTCTACTGCTGGTAAGTTCATTAGCTCTTAAGATAAGTATGATATTGTGATCATTAACACTGAGTGATAGAAACTTCATGACATCAAGATCACTTGGGACTTTCCTTTCTTTATGATACCCTTTTTAAACATACTTCTGAGGCTTATGTATTAGGTGGTGGGGCATCAGGATAATACAAGGCATCACAGCAGTAAATGGCGTTTACGATGGTACTCAATGTATAGTGGCATAATAGTGAACTTAGATTGCATTGTTGCATAAACGTTAAGCTAGTAATACCAATAACGATCTCCATTTGATTCGTAATCATTTATCCTCCCACACGTCATGATTGTTCATTACACGTTAACCCTATTCAGCGCTAAAATCATTTTGAAAATTGAAATATCTTTAAGTAATGATTTACTTGAAGACCTTTCCGTCAGCCCATGGGTACTCCTTGCCGTTAACGACAAGTGGCTTCTCCCAAGTCCATTGCTCGTTGATGAACTCTCTGTCCTCTGGCTTGCTGGCATCAAGCTTGGTGAACTCGTAGCTCTCATAGTCAGGGGCGACATCGAAAGCTGCGAGAGCCTCTTGACCACGGATAACGAAAGCACCCTTGATGATGCTGTCGTTGGCGGTACCGTAAACGGAAGCACATCCGAAGATGTACTTACGAGAAGCCTCAAGACGAGCGAAGAAACCACCGATCAAGTTGGAGGTCATGAAGACTTGAGTAAGCTCATCATTGTACTTGTAGTCAACAGCCCACAAGGAGTATTCCTCAGCGTTGTAGTTCTCCCAGAACCACTTGAGGGCATCAGGGGTCTCTTGGTTAGAGTATTGACGCTTCCACTCATCGAGAGGAATGGTGGACTTTGGCAAGGCCTCAAGAGGGTGCTTTGGCTTTGGTGCAGCTGGGGCCTCCTCTTCCTCCTCCTCGACTTCCTTAGCCTTTGGCTTGGCGGCCTCCTTCTTTGGCTTCTCGGCCTTTGGTGCCTCAGCCTTCTTTGGTGCTTGGTTCTTGAGGGTTGGCTCGTCGATCAAAGCGAGAGGGTCAACAACAGCGGAGTATATTGGCTGGTTGTAGACGGTAGCGTACCAACGGGCAGTGTTTGGGTTCTCAGCTCTCCACTTCTTGTCAAAGAAGAATTGGAAACCACGGGAGATGATACCAGCAGCGAACAAATCGGCAAGAGTGATGCGCTCACCAGCGAGGTAGGTGTTGTTCAAGAGGTGCTCCTCAATGACGGAGATGCACTTGGCAGTGGCTTTGATGGAGTCATCGACGTTCTTCTTGTTGTATGGGTCACGGCCGATGAGAGGACGGAACCAACCACCGAGGGATGTGAGGACCTCAGAGTTGAAGAAAGACATCCATTTCAAGATGGAAGCATAGTCTTGCTTGGTCTTACCGAGGAGGGTGGTCTTCTCGTTTTGGGAGGTGACTGTAAATTCTTGTAAGCTGGTGACTCATAAAGCAAAGCAAATGCAAGATAATTTTTTCAAAGATGGGTGTTCAGAGTCTAATTAATAAAGATCAACATAGAATGATTAAGACAGGGATAACTGTATGACATTTTTTTCATCATTACACAGGAGAATTTGTGGTAGGTAGAATTGTAGCAAATTTGTGCGAAACAAAGTGGGGTGAAGTGGGATGTAAACATACCATAGATAGCGATGGCAATGGCCTCGTGGAGAGTGAAGCCGTCAGCACCAACGAAAGTTGGGACTTTGCCGAGCTTGTTGATCTTGAGGTAATCCTCAGAGACGCCCTTAGCTGGCTCGGTCTCGACGATGTCGAGCTCGATGTTGTTGGCCTTTGCAACTGCACGAATGGCAGTTGAGCGGGGGTTGCCCTATAGAAAAAGTAGGGTTAGCAGAAGTTACATAGAACTATTCATTTGCAAAGAATGTAGCAGAGACTATATAAACGCATATACATACTGGATAGGTGTAGAGAGTTCCGAAAGCCATCTTTGCGTTGATTCAAAGTTGATTGATTTGGATGGAAGAAAGAAGATTTCGTGAGATGCATCTTCTCGAAAATTTGTGGTGGGCAGAGGGGTACAATAAAGCTAGTCCGCATCAGGCCTAAAGCCAAAATCAGCTGATGCGGGAAAATCGAGATATCGAAATCTAAAGTTTACGAAGGTCGATTTAAAGGGTAAACACTCCTAAAAAGTCCACGACTTGATTCCCTCTTCAATATGAAGACATCGTGGCTTCCTGCAAGCCTGAGGGAAGGTCTTAGATGTGCCTCTTCCACTCAATCAACCATCCCCAGATCACTACTCCGAAATCGAATTCCTCTTTCCTCGCCCTCGAAGTCCTTCACAACCACTTCACAACTTCGAGACAGCATTGCGGCCCCAGAAATAAACTTTCCAGATGAGGGTGGAAGAGGGGAAAACGGATCGCAAGAGTCGCCGAAATTCTTCGCGCGTCTAGTTCCATACTCGCCATCATATTTCACGGCCCAGCCTTCATATACCGACAATCTTCTCCAATTACAAAACCTCCTACTCAAATACTCGAAACTTCCTGTTGTGCAACCAGGAGAGGCGCCGCGTGTGGCATGGAGGTCTCTTATGGAATATAGAGATCAGACTGGAGAGGGAGTACGATCATCAAAATATCATAAGATTGTAGAGACACTACATCGATTAAATCACATTCATCCATCAGTAATGCCCCCAGATGTGAAGGAGGCTATGGACAGGTACAAACGAGATGTGAACCCGCACGAGAATGTCGCAAAACCTATACCCATTGATCAATATGGACGGGCATTAGGAGTGGGAAGGAGGAAATCGTCTACGGCGAGAGCTTACTTGGTAGAGGGTACGGGGGAGGTACTTATTAATGGGAAAACACTCGCGGAGGCTTTTGGCAGGCATCATGACAGAGAAAGTGCTATCTGGGCTCTGAAGGCTACGGATCGGATTGATAAGTACAATCTTTGGGCCCTGGTTAGTGGAGGTGGAACTACAGGGCAAGCAGAAGCTTTGACGTTGGCAGTAGGGAAGGCTTTACTTTCACACGAACCGGCTTTGAAGCCTGCGTTACGAAGAGGTAAGTGTTTTGAAGTTTATTGCATCACCCTCTCCCTATTTATGAAGAGGAGGCAGTACTTAAGGATAGCATACTAACTTATTTCCAGCCGGATGTGTGACTCGTGATCCAAGAAAAGTTGAGAGAAAGAAGCCAGGTCATGTCAAGGCCAGAAAGATGCCCGCCTGGGTCAAGAGATAGTTGTATGTGTATTTCATTGTATAAATACATATGGTGTTTGGGTTTCCAATGGCTTGTCTATGGGCTTGAGACTCATCATGTAAGGAACATGAGAACTGAATAAATACCCAATTATATTCGAAGATGCACAATTCAAATATCAACATCATCAGGCATTTCAGTGGGCCCTATTTTGAGCAAGTCAGCTCGAAGGGTAAGCATACAAAATTATAAACCAGTCCAATACTACATCAACTTTTCATATAGTCTCCAATCCTCAAACTAGCAAGTGCAGCCATATTACCAGGACCATTATACGAAAGCGAACATCCCTTCATATCTATTCATACCAATACAACAATCTCAAAACATACGTTACATATATTTCCATTTTTTCAAAAACCCATGCATGCACGCAACAGCTCAGGAATCTTTCCTACCAATCAAAATTCACCTTCCTATTCGAAACAAATCTATATTTATCACCCTACAGACACCCCAGTTAACCCCACGCTGACTATTAAAAAAACTACTGACTTTCAATCTGCACCTCGTTAATCCCATACCTCATCCATTTACACACTCTCTGCTCCCCTCCAAGAAACCAATAACCCCATCCCATCCCTACCGCAGCCAACTACAGCTAGCAACCAATTATCGCATGGCCATCAGACACTAGTAACCAAAACAAGGCTAACAATACATTACATCACATTACATGCGTACAAAACACCATCACATCGCCACCCTCCAATACGCAATCCCAGCCCTACCCCCTATCTCGCTTCCTTCCTCCATCCACCCTTCCCCCAGCCCATCAACACCCATGCCGTCGATCTCCATCCAGCCTCATCCAGCCTCACCTCACCTCACTTCCCACCATCCACACCCATCATCAGCCACAATACAACCCAAGATTTTCTATCCATATCCGCTTTACCTCCCGTCTTAACCCAAAATTAAGGGCAATGTAATTTCGATAGCATACTAAACTATTGATATTGACATCGATATTGATATTGAGATCAGAACACAATAATAATCCACCTTCTCGAATTCATTCAATCTCGCCTCATTACAGGCTAACTTGATATAATCTAATCTAGCTCAGCTCAACTCAACTCAACTCAATCAACCCCCACCCACAGCATCCTCCTTCAAATCAATACCGCCTCATCATCCCCAACCTCTAAACTCTAAACCTCTAAACCCTCCCCCAAACCCTCACCCACATCCACATCCTCAGATTTCCAATTCAAATTCCAACCCCTCAAGAATCTCCAATCAAATCTATCACACCACACCACACCAACCCAAACAATCCAAGCAACCCTGTCCACCACAGCCTCACCATCCATCAACCATCATCCATACCTCAGACGGTCAGGCCGCATACCCGCGTCTCCGTCTATCCGAATCCTACACTACACACCTCCATCTACATCCACATCCTCCTGCATGCATCCCGCATCATGCATGTCTAATGCAGCTCAGCCACCGCTACACATCAATCCATGCATCCATGGCATGTCACATCTCGATATAAGATTCCCATATTCTCATGTCCGACCTGATAATCGCCAGGTTACGAGATGAGTGAAACCTGCAAGACAAAATCATCATTGCGAGATGATGATAGATCAAAAAAGTTGCATCCGTTTGCAGATTGATTTTTTTATGGAAGATATTATTCATTTACAATACAAATATACACTATCTTTCTACAATTCAATGGTGCCCTGCTCTCCCCCATCTCCCCCTCGCTGCAACGAACCCACTCCCTTTTCCCCCGACAGGCACTCGTCTCATCCGGCGTATCCACACGCATGCTGATTCATTGCAAATCCTTGTCTTCATACCCTAGAAGATATGGCTTACTTTCCTCAATACCCTGATAGATATATAATCCGTTCATACGATCGCCCTAAAAAATTCCCATACACCCAACCTATAATTCGTTCCTTCAGTCCCGGACCTAGAAGTCCATCTGGAATCCCAATCCCATGCAGTCCCTTAATTGTGAGCCTAGTAGCCCCCCTTAATTACAATCAATCATACTCCCAACCAACTATTCGAGCCTAGAAGCCCTCCCATTGAACGGCAGCTCTAGTAAACCACATCGTACAATAATACAATATGAAATAAAACAGACACGCTAAAACACATCCATATCATTCATATAAGCCTCCCAGGTATTCCCAACCAAAATTTGCGAACCAGAACCTGAATTCCCACCTTCCTTTCCTTTTCATCATACAAACATCGTAATAAAAGAAGCATTGCGCGTAGAAACATTGAAACGTAGCTTCATCGAAAAATCAGAATGCTGCCCACCCGCAAATAGTCCGCCAGTGACCAATCCCTTCACCTCATGCATGCAGAGAACCACCAACACCAATTTGTCAAATCAAGAAGACAAAAAAATCAAGTTTCCCACCCATGTATACGGACCACATAAAAGTGATCCTGATTAGTAGGAAAAGAAGAGAGTCAAATCTTGATGTCGATGAATCAGGGCGAAGAATTTGTAAAAAAGAAGAGAAAAAAAACGCCGAGAACGAAAACAATACAAGTTTATGCTCTACAGTGGTATATGAAAACAAAACTTTTCCAAGGAGAAGAGAACAGAAGTAAAATGTGGTAAGACAAGATATAATGTTATCATGGTGGCGCACGACCGACGTTGGAGTTTGCGATCGATGAGGATGCGCCTCCGCTAGAGGCTCCGGATGCTTCGAGTTCTTCTTGGAGTTTTTGGCAGCTCAATAGAACTACGGTGTTGTTAGATAAATCAAGGATTACTACGAACTCTGCCGTTGTTTCAAACTTACTATCAATAATTTGCGACTCTCCAACTCCATATTGATAATCGACCAAACCATATTTCTCGACCGAATCGCACAATCGCGTAAGATTGGTTCCCATTTTGTTAATAAAATCCAAGGACATGAGCGTTTGATGTTCCTGTTTTCGCTGGCCGGATTCAAGAAAGTCGTGCTGTCTGGTGAAAATGCTTAACCATGCCGCGTTAAATTCGTTCCATAGTTGAATGCGATCGGCATGAAGCGCAGTTTCGTCTACAGTGAGGCCTTTATCAGAAACTATTAGTGGATGAGATTAAACAGAGGAAATATTAACTCACCCAACTCTGTTACGTGTCCTAGTAGCCACTCAGAAACTTCAAGTAAAGAAGAGCCTGCTTCTGCAAGACGAAGATCAATAATGTTTTTAAAGATCTGCTTGAGAGCAGTCTGGTAAGTTGAATAAGCTTCTTCCATCACATGTGGATTTTGGGGCTGCAGGTTTCCGGCGTCCATACCATCGGCGGTTCCAGGTGCTTGAGCCATTGCGCCTAGTCCTACGGATCCAGAATATGATTGTTGGATCAACGTGGTGCGATCTCCTGGGCTTTGCTGGTGTTGTTGATAAGGGGTAGACGAGTTCGAGGAAGCATAATTTTGAGTCGCTGGGGTACTTGTTGGGTCATTTTGGATGAAAGGGGCAGCCACGTCGGGTATCATTTGCATTGACGCAGGTTGCCGTCCTTGAAATTGCGAACCATCATAAATACTGTTTTGGGGAGTTTGTTGTGTGACGTTATTGGGGTACATCAAGCCAGTATTGTAATCCGAGAAGCCTTGCTGTTGTCTTTGGTCCGAAGGATAATTGGAGGGGTATTGCATTGGATTCGGAGGAATTCCTGCCGAAAAATTCGAGGTTGGCTCGTAGCCACCATACGAATATGCCGGGGCTTGTCCAACTCCGCGGCTCATTGATGGCGACCCTGTCCCTCCGGGCCGGTACCTATCCGGTATGGAATTTGGAATTCCACGGCCTTGACTCTGATCTGGTGTGTATCTGGGATCCTGAGGAGGATATGGCGGCTCATTTTGCCTTCGTCGACGGTTATTGTCGTCCATTCTCGTCTCTTATTCGGTGTTATGCAAACTACTTCCCGCCAACTAATCCAATCGATGCGCCACCCACAAATAATATGGCGTTGAGCGCAAGTGGGCCAGCTTGGTGATTCGGTCCTGATGGTGGTTTGGATAGGTTCCTCTCGCCGCGATTTCGACGCGTTTTATCTATTCTTATTCCTCGATCTAAAATATGATGCCTTGATATCCCAGTCAACACTGTGCACCAAGTCGAAAGATCAAGAGGGTTTAGTTACCTGGCGCTTCTGAATATGGCAGTTTGAGAAAGAAAATTTGAGATTTATTTTTGCTTCCAACCCGAGCAGGCCTTGTATCGTTGTCGGAAACTTTTTTGTGTTGGGGGTAAAGGAGGGTGTTGGAGGGAGATATAGGGAGAGATGAGAAAGTTGACGTGACTGACTCTAGCACTTGGTCGACAATAAGATGAAGTTCACCCTGAAGACCGAGTACGTGCTAGAATGATCAATGATGGTTTCGACTATTCAAAAGAATAGGAATATTGCGGAAATAAGGTGTCGATTGAGTTTCTTTCTAAGGTAAAGACCTCGTCACTGGCTCCTGGGACTATCCTTGACTTCCGATACAAGCAAGTTCCCTGTGAGATCTAGCTTGTAGGCAAAATATCACCAGAGTATCAGATTGAACATATGTCCCGCCCTGTGACAAACGCTGAAAGATTCCTTGGGCTTTGGAGTTTGACCGTGATTTTGACTGGTGGCTAGCTGGCCAGTTTCGTGTAATTTTTATGGAGGGGCTGCTTTGGAGGCTATTCTGACGTTGTGAGGAGAGATGGAGGGGGAACCAGGTTCATGGATAATTCCAAGACGTGCAACAGCGCCTCAATTGTCACTTCCGAGTTTCTAGAAGCGCTAGAAGACGCGAAGGAAGATGGAAGGATCTATCTCGATTGATAATATAGATGTATCTTCAAAGTCACTGTCTATGAATCGATCAAATGCGAATCTGATAATGGCCGAAGAAGATGAACAACTGACGATGTGTACGAGTGAGTGTATGAAGATACCTTCGGGCCGAATCCAACGATGAAGACTTGATGACAGTCAATCAAATATCCTTTCTACT